ACTGCCCTAGCTTTCCTATGTCACTTATTCTCTGCAGTGGCGGATTAAGCTCTCTGCCGCCCTAGGCCCTTTACGTTCAGGCGCCCTTTTAAATAGACTTTTTTAATTAAACATTTTTTAAAAAATTATTCAGATATAATTTTTAACTTTACGTAGGATAAGTTATATTAATCGCAAATAAATCGAAAATGATATTTTTTCTTATCTTCACGTTTAAAGGCATTCTGAACATTTTGGTTTACCTCAAAATGTGTATGTGTGTATGTATGTTCAATTCCCATTGATTCTGATTAGTTTTTCGCTAGGGCTGGTTCAGCCGTTTCGAAGATATGAAGCAAAAAATACAAATAGAAATCAGAACTTTACGCCCTGAATATTTTCCTTATGTCGTATTTATGTAGATGGTAACCCGACTGCTGATTCTTTCATATTTGATTACTTCATTATTAGAAATTATCTACTAGGGCTGACTTATTATTAACTTCCTGATGGAGCACTTTGAAAATTTAAAGTTTTTTTGAGATGTTAACAAAATTTGTACTTATCATTAATATTCTTATAAAGTATCTGATAATTTGATGTGCATGTGTCCAATAATCATTTTTCCAAACGTTATTTTATAACTTGTTTTTGAATCTTCATAACCGCTATACCTGACTTTCCAAAACCTGGTTAATTGTTCATTTCATCAATATGAGTAAAATGTTTTTTGAATCATTCAAATCGGACTCTCAGTTCTCTCAAAAACCAAATTTCCATTTTTTGGCACTTTTTGTCCCGTATATTCGAAATGGCTGAACCTGCCTTTGCCAAAAACTAATCAGCACGCCTCCTTATCAGTAGGATCGGTTGATCCGTGCTCTCGAAACGGTTTACGAAAATTAGTATTCGTCCTAATTACATATATTCATATAATATTTCTTACATAAAAACGCACGGACCCACAAACATCTATTTTTTCTAAGCCACAAATGTTTAGGAACCTTCGAAACGTAAAGATATGCAAAGAAAATTTTCCATTTTTTTGCGACTACTATTACTACTACTACCCTGCGAGAAGTTAAAAATGAAACAAAATTTGTACTGATTATTAATTTTTTTGTAAAAAAATCTGATAATTTGATGTGCAAATGTCCATTGATCATTTTTGACCACTAAATGGCACTTTTTAGGATCACCAAAACGCACTCTCACTTTACCATCGCAAAAATTTACTTAATGTACTTATTTAGTTTTGAATTTCCCAATCGGATAGAGAATGGGGCTCTCTAAAAGAATGAAGAGCTATTTTTTATCATTTTATTTATTCCGAAATGAATAAACCTGCCATTACCAAAAACTAATCAGCACATCTTCCCGACAATTGAATCATTCAATCAATTGATTCGTCTCAAAAGCGTCGACAAAAAAATGTAACCGCAAATACACATCCATACATCCATTTTTCCTAAGGTATGCCAAAAAGTTAAGAAGGTTTTGAAACGTAAATATTTATAAACAATTGCATTTACGTTTCCTTTTTAAAATTACTATAACTTACCCGTGAAGGGAATGCCAATGTATTGTAGTTGCCAATGCCAAGATATTTAGTTTAGGTTTAGTTTCATCTTACAGAATACATTTAAAAAAGAAAAAAATATATACGAACTAAGACATAATTAAATCAACACAAAATAACAGTTAATATATTATATTAATTCCCAAAATAAAATAAGAAACCATTTAAAACCATTTGAAAACATTTTGTATGTAAGATTTTCCTTAATAAAGTTACAAAAAATGAACAGAGCTTCAATATTTTTTCAAAAAAAGCTTATCAATTTGATAATTTTTATTTTGAACATGATACATCAATAAAAGTATTAATGAGGCGCCCTCGAATAAGTTTGATTAGAAAACGAATAGCATTCTATGTCATAGAAAATTATCTAGATCAGGATCAATTCTTAAAATAAATTGCCGTGACAATTTTTCGGATTTAAAATTTTGACATTCTGAAAAACTTGCCGCCCCCCAAATTGTGCCGCCCTAGGCCCGGGCCTCACCGGCCTATGGGTTAATCCAGCACTGATTCTCTGATAACATTTTTATTTGTTTTCTATTAAAAATATATATATATATTGTCAACGGGTACTTTATTGGTTTTGTAGAGTATTTAAATCATATAATCAATCTCTGTCTGTCAGAATTAACAGATATAAATGCAACAAAAAAAACTTTCAACAATGTATCATTTCATATAAATTCAATGAGTGCAAAACGATAAAAATGAGACCTTTCATAAACAGATGTCCATCAAACGGTTCTAATTCGACGACATCTCTTCAACCCAAGAGATATGCGGGCAAAGGGTTGTGTTCGTGTACCTCTCTCCAATGAAAAGCAACAAAAGAGGTTTCCTGAGGTTTCGGTTCTGGTAACATAATACTCCATAGCATCGTGTCCTCTGGGCTTTTATTCAACTGCTCAAAGTTTCGGGTCTCTGCTTTTCAATTATACGCATACCCTTATACATTCGAAACAATATAAAGCCCTATACGAATACGAATTTAAGTTTTAGCCCTTTATACATTTTCCATGAGCTAATTAAATCGATGTTGTAATAAGTCTTGACGGGCGGTCGGTGGCGGACGTCTTATGAAGACGAGACGAGGGTTTCACGCTTTCTTTATAAGAACTTCGAGTCTTGATACGTAAAAGAAATTATTCAAATTTAAGGATTTTGTTTGGTTTCATATACAAGGTAAACTGTAAGGTAGATTGCATACATAGCATATACAATTAGTTTAATTAGCTACTATAGGAAAACGTGGTTCTACTAAAATGAAGTCAAATGCGACACATCCTAACCTCATCCGGAAGTTAAGAAAGTGCTTTCGAAAAAGCTAATTTTGTATTTTAACGACACTTCCTAGGTTTACTTTGAAGTCTAGATACTTCGCTCAAAAGTAGATGTTTCTCATGAAAAAATTCAATATCAAGAATGTTTTCTTATGAAGGCATTCTAAGCATCGAGATTACAAACCAGTTACACTGAAGAGCATTTGCTTGAATTTATGCAGATCGGTTTGCATTTTTGGATGACATTATTTCAAAATTTCTGGTGTTTCAAATTTTTAACTCATGCTAGTTTTGTGTTGCTTTGGCGTTTCTAGTCATTCTGAAAACGTTTGACACCAAAATTGGATAAAGTATGTTTGGTTACAGTATTGGTTAAAGTATATGATTTTATTAAGACATTACATAATGATGAAGTTCTTGGTCTGAACAAACATTCTAATGTATTACCGGCCTACAAAAACTGAATAAATTAAAATATTTGAATGTTTGTTTTATATTAATGTTAAAACGTTTATGCATGCATTAAATTAAATAACATAATTACAGATAGTATTAATTAGAAAATAGTTATAAATTCGAAACCGAATTGATTGATTGATTGACTTGATTAAAATAACATGTAAAGCTAAACTTCATTTTCGAAATAAACAGTTGAAAAATGTATTGTAATAGTTTTAAAACTTTCGAAATCTGAATTTCTAGTTTACTAATATAAATATAACCGTATAAATATTTACATTATTTATATACAAGCAAGCTCATAAAAAGTTATATCATATTTCACCAATAAAAAGATTATTAGAAAAGATATTTTACGAGGTTTTATATTGATATATTGAAGTCAATGAAAACTTTCCAAAATGTGTAACAATTGACTTAATCAACCGAAACAAAAAAATGCCTTGGCCGATCTTCTCCCAAACCAAATCCCGTCCACTCCTTAACAGGGTATTCCAATGGCTTTTAAATTTGTGAAATTCAAATTTTGACTTATCACATCACACAAGCGACTTTTGACACAAATATTTTAATATTTGACTATCATATTTTTTCAAACTTTGATGAATTTTTAAAATTAAACGACTTGTCGTAAGGACGTAATATGTAGTATGATATTGATTACAACAACTTGTGCCAGCGAATCTTTGCCAAAAAACTAATCAGGTCGATTCCCAACCAATATCTTGCCAACAGTTTTTCAATTTTTATAATCGATTTAGAATTGCGGGACGTTTCTAACTTTTCTAATTAATAAAATTGAGATTTGAATTTTTGAGACTAGTACTCATGGCACTTTCTAATTTTTCCATCTAACTTCCAAAAACAATCAGTTTTATATACTATACTGAACTTTTCTGGCTTCTGAGACGCAAGTCAATTCAATCTATTGACAATAAACTTCTTATTTACAAGATAGTAATAAAAACCAATATGGACTTATGGCATAGAATTGTGAGGCTGTGCGAGCAAATCCAATATAGTGCTAATGCAACGTGCCCAATCGAAAATATTAAGGCAGATTACTGATGCTCCGTGGTTTGTTAGCAATAAAACCTTACACGACGATCTTCATATTGAATTTATAAACACAGTCATACAAATCAACAGTGTCAAACATTTTCATACACTGACTAAAACATCATACAAATTCTATAGTCCCTCAGCTTCTTGAGACATCAACTTTAAGAAGACTGAAGATGAAGCTGCCTAAAGCTAATATGGAGGATCCTTAAAACTACCACAACTTTATATGAATAGAATAGTAGAATCACTTAATGAAGTGATTCTCTAACAATCAATATAATATTTATCACATTAATTTATATGTGTATTTTTAAGTGTGTGTGCCTATGTGGGAGTGAATGACATAAGCCAAATAGCTCATAGAATTGTCCTCTATTCTGATTGCTATTGAAAATAAAATTTAAAAAAAAAACAGTTTTATGTTCAAGTTTATGAAAAAAACAATTGCTGATCATTAAAACAAGTTTATTTCCAAAAAACTTAATATTTTATGTGATTTATTTCTATCTTTTTAAAATAGATTTTGAAAGTGGATTATTTGAATTTAACGGCAAAATGTATACCACGAAGTTGAATCTTTAATGTCACGGCGCCAACATAAATCAATTCTAAAAGTCGTCATCTACAAGGTTTGTTTTATATTCAAAATGTCAACCAATACCTGTCAAACATACTAACAATCACATAACATGTCTTTTTGAGCAATAATCAATTGTGATGCAATAAATTCTAGTCACCCAGTTATTAAATAACCGTACACATACCAAACGATAAACGTGAAAATAAAATAAAATGAAGGAACTCTATTTATAATTGTTCAGATTGTGAAACTAACCTAAGACGAAATGGCTGAGGAACAAGAATTGCCCCAAAATATGCAACCTTCCAATTTACAAGACCGCCAGATAAGTTTACCCTTGGAGCAACCGGTTAATCAAAGCAAATCATTTTATAATTGGCAGGCTACTAAAACTACTCTTAAAGAAAGATTTACCTATCTATTCAACAACGAGGTTAGATGACATTTAAACTATTAGTTTTAATCACTAAAAAAAATTTAGCTTAATATAACTCTTCTTAAAGATCCTGTGAACAGATCGTTACACTACGAACAGTTCATGTTTGTAGACAAACTAATTAATATATAAGAATTATTATGAGAAAAAATTAAAACAAAATATTATTCCAACAAAGATTTTAGCAGTTTACTTGATTAATCGATTACCTAAAACCTTTTGATACAAATTTTCTTGAGCAGTTATTTAGCAACAAATTTCTTCAGTAATTAATAGCTAGTTTGATATTTTTAATTATGCTTTGTATTGAATAAACCGAAACATAAGTAAAGAAACACTACTGGAATAAAGTTATTTTAAATAATAAATTATGTGGAATCTTTGTGTAAGCTGATCTGTGAAAGCATTGCAAAAAATTTTTAAAATGCAATCTTGCAAATAATGAATTTAGTAATCTGAAATAAGTATTAGATTAAAAAATTAATCAGTTATAGGGTTCAGCAGAAGTAATGGATGAATTCTATATGGATGGGAGTAAAAAAATGTATTGGGCGCTTTGTGAGTGCACTAAATATAATGCGTGTCAGGTCATTTTTTGATGGTATCTGCATTTTTGAGTATTGAAGCTATATTTTTTTTAAACAAATGATACAGCTGCTACAATGACATCCACTCATTGTTTTCACATTTCACAGACCTTCTACAACCTAAATTGGAGCAACCTAATATTTTTCCAGATTGAATTGAAGATATGACTTTGCACAGATCACATCAAATCAGATGTTTCCTGGCCGTATTATTTCACACATCAGTGACATTACATGGCCTGTGCTCTCTCCAGACATAATATCATTAGATTTTGTTCTATATAAGTCATTCTGAAAAAATAGTGTATACTAATTATATTCAAACCATCTATGTCTTAAAAAAAGCAATCAGAGCAATAATTTCAAAGATACCGCATGAAATGACTGCACATGATACGAAAAACTTCAGAGATAGCTTAAGCTTGTGCATCACAAAAATGGGACACCATTTGGAAGATATTATTTTTTACAAATAAACTTTAACATTTAGCAATTCTCTTGGTTAATGTAGTCTTTTAATATTTATAGTTCTTGGAAATCCATCCATAATTTCTGCCCAGACCCTGTATATGCCTAATCAATTTAAAACTATTTTTGTTTTTCTTTCTCTTCACAAACCAATATTTTCCAGGTACTAAGTGACGTTCATTTTATTGTTGGTCGAGAAGAAGCCCAACAAAGAATTCCAGCCCACAAATTTGTATTATCAGCCGGCAGTGCAGTCTTCGATGCCATGTTCAATGGCACACTATCTAATCATTCAGGCGAAGAATATCTTCCAGATGTAGAACCAGTTGCATTTTTATCTTTATTACGATTTTTGTATTCTGATGAAGTAAGTTTATGCCCTGATTCTGTCATGCAAACTCTCTACACTGCCAAGAAATATGCTGTACCTGCATTGGAAATCCATTGTGTTGATTTTTTAAAAAGCAATTTGAGAAGTGATAATGCTTTCATGCTTCTCACACAAGCAAGATTATTTGATGAACCCCAATTAGCAAGTATGTGCCTCGAAATGATCGACAGACACACCACAGATGCAATGAACGCTGAAGGTTTTATGGAAATAGATTTGCGAACATTGATTTGTGTTTTGGAACGAGATGCATTGAGGATCACTGAATTGAAGATCTTTGAATCAGTGGTTAGTAAAAAACTATCTTACTATATTAATTCAGCTCAAATGTAATAAATATAAGATTCACAAAAATAGTGTAGATGCTAAATTTATAATTTGAAATCAATTGATGATGATTTTTTTTATTATGTTATAGGTTCGTTGGTCAGAAGCTGAGTGTGTTAGACATGAATTGCCTGTTACACCCGAAAACATGAGAGCTGTACTTGGTGAAGCTTTTTCTCTCATAAGATTTCCACTGATGTCTTTGGAAGAATTTGCTGCTGGTCCAGCTCAATCTAAATTATTAACTGGTGAATTTTTTGTGAATTTGTAATATGTGGAAATTCATTTTATGAATATATTTAATTTAAAAATAGTCCCACAATTTGAAGTTAAGTTAGAACAGAGATTACATTAAGTTAGAACATTATAAACATGTGAACTATTAGATTTTAAAAGAAAGTTAATAATTATGCAATAACACATAGCATATAATATAGCTAGTTATAAGTAATATTTTGCCTTAAAGGCCGTTCAAGTATTACGTAAGCACTATAGGGGGGCGGGGGGGTTGTTGATTTGCTTATTTTGGGTTGACATGGGGGGCAGAGGAATCTGGATGATGATTACGTCATAGGTAGTATTTTTGTTTTTTTTACATCAATTGCAAAATGTTTACGTGAGCATGGGTGTAGGGGGTAAGAGCTTTGCTTACTTTTGCTGACAAGGGGGATGGGGGGGGGGATAAATAATTGTAATAAATCCGCTTATGTAATACTTGAACGATCCCTTAAGGTAAGTGGCAACAACTTCCCGGTGGATACAAATAATCAACTTAATCAATAAGAATTTCGATTCATCCATTTAGGTGAAATGTTCAACTGTTTATTTCACTTTCTCTAAAAATTAATCAATGGGATTTCCAAATGATGTCTTTTTAGGCATACTTTTAATTGTATATTCTATCTATAATTGTATAAAGCAAATTAAATTGTTCAACACATTTTATTTCGCCTATTTCGGGTTTTAGAAACGTATTTTATTAAATGGTGTACGTCAACTGTAATCAGTAGCTGCCTATGAAACTTCGAACCTACATATGCACGAAATGCATATATTCTTATTAGAATCGGTAAAGCGCGGGACGCAATTCCAAACTTTCGTGAATTCCCCAAATTAAATATTTTTATAATGATATCTATTGTCATACAATCATACATATTCATTGAAATTGTCGAAAAAAAAATTCAATTACGAAGAAACGGCTCGGCCTACCTTCACTAAAAACTAATCAACGCGATTCCCACCCAATATCTTCCAAATGGATTTTGAATTTTTAAAATTGGTTCAAAATTGTGGGCTTAGACGTGAACGATTTTTTTTTTTTTAATTTTTCTACTAAAAACAAAGAAGCAGCTTGGCCGATCGTCGCGCAAAACTGGTAAACGCTAGTCGCTAGGAACATCGAATTGCTTTCAAATTTTTGAAATCCGTCCAGACGTCTTTGAGAAAACATCCATGAAAGGTCAAAAATAAGCTCATTCAATACAAAATGATTTTTAACATCAAGAAAACACATAGCAAGTCGGATTTTTTTGCGAAAACATGAAATTCTCCTTCAGGAAGTTGATAAATATTCTACCAAGTGTTGCATATTTTAACTCATCAAATTCTGTTTTCTGCTAACTCAACTAATTTTGCGGCAAGTTGCATTCAACATGAGTTAGATTCAGTTTTATATAATTCAATTTGATCCATTATAATTTCAGATCGAGAGGTGGTGAAGTTATTTTTGCATTTTACGCTCAATCCTAAACCAACTGCAGGTTTTCCAATATCTCCAAGATGCTGTTTAACAGGCCAAGAACAGACTGTGAATAGGTTTCAACAAATTGAAGGTCGCTGGGGCTATAGGTACTACTTAGCTATAATAATAGTTCTAGAATTAGTCAATCTATAAATTTTATTTGAAGTTATTTCATTTTCTCTGGCAGAGCAGTTGTGGTTTATTTTATTTTCATAAAAGAAAATAATAAATAGTAGTCTGCTCGAATTCAGGACCATAAATCAAAGATTCCTTTCCTTTTTTGTTTACTATTCTCATTATTTTATTACCATTAATAACTTTTTTATTAACTCTCATGAATTTTCCTTTCAAACTTCTGCTTCCACACTTCCTGATCATGTGCTTTGGTTTTCAGTCCTCTGTGAAAACTGTTAGAAGAGAAAATCTGCATTCTTGTTCTTCCCAATCCATTTAGTCCCTCTCTTTTACCTTAGATGATGTCATGTAGAAGGCATTCACTTCACAGAATAAGTCCAATTTTTTCTCAGGACTTCTTCATTTGTTAACTTACCTGTCCACTTTATCTTTTCCATGCGTCTCCTGCACCATATTTCAAAGCTCCCCAGATAGTTCTTGTTAAGAAAACTGTATATTTATATTGTATATTATATCTATTGTTTTCTATTTCAGTGGCACTTGTGATAGGATAAGATTTTCAACAGATTTTCGCATTTATGTAGTTGGATTAGGTTTATATGGATCTGTTTACTGGCCTGCATATTATGATGTTGATGTCAATATAATACAAGCTTCTACTGGAAGTGTGGTTGCTACTAATCAAACTACTTTTAGCTGTGATAAAAATAGTAACACTCACAGAGTGATGTTCAAAGAACCAGCTGAGATAATACCTAACGAGTGGTATATAGCCAGTGCTATGATGAAGGTGTGTATAATAAATTTATAAGTTTAGATGACTCCCAAAGTGATCGAACAATAAAACTTACTTTTGACTTTTTAAAAGCAATGAGGTTTACAGATCATGTTACTGGTAGGGCTGACTCAATGCAATAATGGAATCTTATATGAACAAACAAACAAACAGAGTAGTTTAGCTGTTATGACTTCTGTCTTTACTATATCCTAACAACAGCACCCGGTGTTTCCTGCTGTTAGAAATTTATGAAAAAAATAGATATTGGGTAAATAAGGGGTGCAGAGCACAAAAAGTTTATGAACCTGTGGTTTAGAAAAATTTAAATCTACTTATTGTTAGACCTCTCATAAAAAAAGAACTATAGACAAGAGATAGTCACTTAAATTGTTCGGCTTGTGTATTATGTTGTCTGTAAAGTGTTTTGCATAGTCTGAAAATGTTGTAGATTGTCTAGAAATGTACTAGATAGACTGGAAATGTTCTACATCAGTGATTCCCAAAGTGGTCCATATGGGCCCTCAGGGGTTCATGACAACTTTCAAGGGCTTTATATCAAAGAAAAAAAATTTTAGACATCCATGATAGTGGATTACAACACACCATGTTAGCATATTTTTATTATTATTTTAAAGTCAATTAAATGATGTCTATACTTGTATTTGAATCTTTACTTTAAATGTTTAATAATAAAAAAAGAAAAAAAAAAAATAGATATCAGCTAAATAGGAGGTCCATGGCAAAGCCTAAGGCACGACACAAACAAATTTGGGAACCTATTTTCTACATAGTCTTAAAAAGCTCTGGATAGTATGAAAACTTTCTAGATAATGTAAAATGTTCTAGATAGTAAAAGTGTTGCAAATAGTTTGAAAACGTTGTAAGTTGGCTGTAAATTGTTCATGAAAACTGAAACAAAATTTATTTAAACAAAGAAAAATATAGGGGAAGTACATGCAAAATGACATTGTTTTCTGTTTTATAATGATGTTTATTTATTTACTGATATTATAACCAGTCATCTTTGGTTCATTGACAACCAGTAACATTGACACACTTTTAATTAAGTAGGAACTATAATGAAACGAAGCCAAAGAGAACAAATCAAACATCATATCCAATCTTTGCCGGGTTTAGAACTGAAAGAAGGGTTTTGCAATTTTTGCAAGGGTTTTGTTTTACTGGTGAATCTTTTGATCTGTTTTTAGAAGTTAAAAGCCAATCACCTTTGACAGGTTTCAATATTCTTTTTTCCTGGCCTCAAATGAACTACCTTGTAGTTCTTGCAAAATAATGCTGTCATTTTATCTATTGTGTAAATTTGTTAGTTTGTTTGAAAGTGATAAAAAATTAATTAATAATCAAAATTCCATCACAATTGCAATAAAATTGATCCAAATCACTAGAACTCATGTAAGTTGATTGATTTTAATAGAAATGATTACAAATATCCCCAAAATAAGTCCCAAAAATACATGACAATATCACCTTTAAAATAAACTTTTGAATACGCGATACACGTTTGAACTGACTACTTCGACAAGACTGTGACAATGACGCCTAATATCTGACAGGATTGTGACTATGCATTTTTTTTTTTAGTATAGTCACGTAAACGTTACTAAAACTGACCAATTTTTAAATCAGGCCACTGTGTCATTTTGTCCATATTTCTCTTACACAGAGAATATGTAGTTGTCACAAGAAAGCTGAATTTTTCAGGAGTGTTCATCAACATAAACAAAAATCATAATTTTGTTTATATAACAAAAATACTATCAAACAGTGCTAGCACATAAGAACCCACATATTTTTTGTATTACATATAGAAAGTTATACTTTTTATATGATTATTTATAAAATTTTCAGACTTCTTGCACAATCTTTTCTGTTTTAGTATATAATAATATGTTTTTATGATATTTCAGGGACCTGATTCTAAATATGGTACAAAAGGTTTGCGTAAAGTAGTTGTTGACTTACCAGAAGGATGTTTCCGAGAAGATAACAGTTCAGGAGATCATAAACTTATGCCTTTGAGCAAAGTAACTTTTAGTTTTGCCTATGTGGCTGGACAAAATAATGGAACTTCTGTTGAAGATGGCCAAATACCTGAAATAATATTTTACACATGAAGAATTAACATATATTATATTATGGCCATTCCTTAAATTACAAAAGATGGATATAATCAATATAATCTTGCAATCGAACAAAAACAAAATTTAATTGTATAAATCTGCTCGTGAATACTTAGATTATGTATATTTTGAGTCATTTGTGTTGGTCGTTAATTGTAGTTATATTTTTTGTATTACAGATAGAAATTTATATTTTTTATATGATTATCAATTTAATTGTAATTTATTCTATTATCTGCCTTTCAGGGCACACTTATTTTAAATTTATTGTGTAAGTTTAGCTAGAAACCCGAATATGTTTTTACAACTTTTTGTGTGATATACATAATAAATTGTTATCGTGATATATAAATATGGAATTTTTTTTTCTGTATCAAAAATTTGATGCACTCAACTTCGATTATCTGGGATACTAAAATTTGGGCATCTATATTATCGATTGTTAAAAATATATGACATGTGAATTAAAATTTTGACAAAAAAGAAATATGTTTAATAAGGATACTTCACCTGCTTTTGCTGGGAATAATTATTCTATTTATTTCACTTAATCAAAACTTTTTATCAAGGGCATATCTCTTTCTCCAATGGCATGTTTTTTCCTATAAAATTTCTTCCTTGTGTGGTGAATTTTTGTTTGGAACACTTGGGATTGCTGATAAGACTTTGTCAGTATATGAAATTGATCTTTTAATAGCTACATTTATTTCGTTGAGTTTACTTTAAAGCAATAATTGAATGTAAAGTATTTATCAACAAAAGTATCAAAGAAACTTTGCACATAATTTTTATAATTCACTTAGATTATAATCCATTTATATTTCCACATAGTTTTTCTTTTTCACTCAAATCTATATTTTTTCTTGTCATCTGTCCACTTTCTAACATTCCGAAGGCGAAGCATGTATTCGCCAAAAAATCCGACTTGTTAATTTTCGTTTGACACAAAATTTGGCCGTTCGTTGACGTTTTTTCAAAAATGGCCGAATATGATATAAAGAACATTATTGACTGTTTCACACTGAGTACTATTAACGAATAATCTTGAATCCTATATAGTAAGCCTCCATGTTTGATATCAAAAACTATGATGATTATTATATATTATGTAATATTTTATTACATCCATATTTAATTATTTCAAATTTGGCGCCCGCAATTTTGTCGACTGAAAAGTGTTACCAACAGTGAGGAACATGATCATGGTGCTTGTTTTTATTTCTAATGTCAAATGTTTGAAAAATAACAGTGCACAAACATTTTATTAACATTTATAATTTCATTATTGTGTATCTCATTTATATAATAAACTAGTTGGTATTAGTATTTTGCCTTGAGGCAAGTTACGTGAACTTCCCGATATGTGCAAATAATCCACTTAATCAATAAAAAATAAATTAATTTATGAGTGATTAAAAGTATTCCGAGAGGATTTGACAACTCTTCGTGTTTCTTAAAAGCAAATTTTCAAAAATCAATAATATTAAGAATTGAACCAGTTTCCGTAGGACTTTAATGGTTTAGTATGTTGATTAAGACCAAGTACTCTATCGTTATACTAAGTAAATCCTCTAATTTTAATATTAACAAATGTCTAAAAAACTACTCATTTTCTCAAACTTTGATAAATTTTTAAAATTATACTACTTATCATAAAGCCGTAATATTTCAGTAAGTTCTATAAGACCATGATATCTATCGCCAAAAAAAGTTCCATAAAAATCGGCTTAAATTTTTTTTCAACAGTTAATTACAAGAAAACGACTCGGTAGATTTTCACCTAAAACTAATCAGTATCGTTCCCAACTAATATCTTTCGAACAGTTTTTGATTTTGTAAATTCAGTAGTATGAGCTTAAATGTGGACGAAAAGTTTAACACTTTTTTCCAAACTTCAAAGGAACGGCTTGGCCGATCGTAAAACAAAACTGACAAGCGATAGTCCTCATTGAAACACATCAAATACTTTTTGAATTTCTGAAATCGGTTCAGGCGTTTTTGAAAACACGTCGATGAAAGGTCTAATGTTAACAAATGCCATAAAACGATACCAATTTTTGCAAACTTTGACGAATTATTAAAGCAAAACGAGTTGTCGTAGGGGCGTAATATTTTAGTATGATCTATAAGTCTATGGTATCTACCGTCAAAAAAATAAAATTGAAAATCGTCGAAAAAAAATTTTCAACACTTTATTACAAGAAAACGGCCCGGCCGATCTCTACCAAGAACTCATCAGCATGGTTCCCAATCAATATCTTTTGAACGGTTTTTGAATTTTCAAAATCGATTCAGAATTGCGGGCTAAAACGTGGACAAAAAATCATTCACTTTTCTGCTTTTTATTACTAATTATGATGTTCTTTTGCACAAGGCCAGCGTTTAATAAATTTTATATATTTTTTGTGTTTTTCCTGCTTTGATTACTGAATGATGACACACAAGTGTCGAAACGTTTGAAGAATTTTTCTATTTTAATCTTTTTTTAAATCGACGATTGGGCTGCAAAATACTCCAAATATATATATATATATATATATATATATATATATATATATATTTAATCGAATTTCACTTTTTTGCTAATTACAAAGATACGGGGGTCTTTTATGGTTTTTAAATTTTTATTATCGGTTCAGCCGTTATTCAGAAAAGGTCGACGAAACGTGGGGCGCATGATATCGTGCCTTAAGGCAAATTGCTGGAACTTCCCGTACCAAAAATTATTTTTTTTAAAAATATTAACATTTTTCAAAAAAAATACTCCAAAAAAATTAGATTTTCGAGAAACTATAAATTTTTGACAAAAATTTAATTTTTTTTTTTGAAAAAAAAAAGACTTTTCGAAAAAAAAAATATTTTGAAATATTTTGGAAATTCTGAACTTTTTTCGAATGCAATCGTACTGCTTTAACTGCATAGAGACGAAATATACAGGCGCGTAAGCGCCGCGCCGCCGTCTAACGGATAAACATTGGTACGAGACCCAAAGGAATGTAAACAAAATTTATACTTATTGTTAAAATCTCGGTCAAAAATGATCATTAGACATATGCACATCTAATTATCAGATATTTTATAGAGATTTTAACAATAAGTATAAATTTTGTTTACATTCCTATGGGTTCCGTACCAATGCTTATCCATTAGATGGCGGCGTGGCGCTTACGCGCTTCGATATTTTGTCTCTATGCAGTTTAAAGCAGTACGATTGCTTTGAAAAAAAGTTGAGAATTTTCAAAATATTTCAAAATACACTTTTCTTCAAAAAGTCTTTTTTTTCAAAAAAATGTAAATTTTTGTTAAAAATTTATAGTTTCTCAAAAATTTAATTTTTCAGAGTAATTTTTTTTCAAAAATGTTAATCTTACAAAAAAAAAATATAATTTTTGGTACGAGAAGTTCCAGCAATTTGTCTTAAGGCATGATGCCAGGCGCCCCACTAGTTTCATTTTCGATTTTAGGACGATCACTATAACTTACCTTATGGGAAGTTAATTATTAGCGTTTTTGTTGAACACTACATGACTATATATAGTAGAAATGATCTCATATATATGCAAGAATAAAATATAGAAATAATAATAAATAAGACAGTTTTCAAGCTGGATAATAGTTATAAATATTGTTCTCAAATAATTTACCAAGAGTATAAATAGCATTACATATATAAATTCTATTTTTGATATATTCCACAGAAATAAATAAAATTTCATCGTTATATTATTTATCTTTATTTATTTACAAGGGGGCAAGATTTTACATCCGCAAAAGTGTTATAAGTAACAAAAAATTAAATTAAAAATAACTATTTTTTACACTTACTTACTGTTCTTAAATATTTCAAGGCATCCATTGCAGAAATTTTTCACAATTTTCAGAAAAGTTGTTCAATTTTTTCATTTAAAACTACGGTAAACATGGAAATGTGCAGATCAATATCAAATAAAATTGGTTATTTTTGCGTTTTGCACGCCTGAAGCCAGCAATATAATAAGAAAATGGAGTAGGAAACTAGACCGAAATTATTTTTCAATTGCCTTTCACATCGCAGTACTCCTTTTTATTCGGAAATATTTTCAATTATACATTGGACATAAATGATTCTAGGTACCTTGTAGCAAAGCAATTACAACTCTGGTCAATCTCATATTAAGCAACAAAAATATTTGTTTTAACTTCAAAATCTAACCATTTAAACATTATTTATTATATTGCTTGCACATAGACTATCCGTAAAATTTATAATATATTACAAGTTTTCACGTAATTTAAAATGTAATACTTTAAATTAATTATAAATAAAATGCGACTTATGTGCTAGCACTAAAAACAATTAACGAGATTACAGGGACGGATAAATATTCTATCAATAAATATATCATAATATACATTTGAACTAACATTTAAATATAATTACTTTTATGTTTAAACAATCCCAGGAATGAATCCGCTGTCATTAAAAACAGAAATATATTCTTTGTTTTATGCAAAATTAACCACATTTTGATCAAATGGGCAAAGCAAAGTGACTGCAATGCAAATTTTTTATTTTATTGCTACACGAGCTTATTTGATCAGCCATATTTTGGTTACTAAATCTAACTAATTCTTCACATTTTTTCAGTTATACCACAATTTGTTAATTTTTATCTGAAAATCCAATTCAAACAAATACGGAATCAATTTTGCCACTGGCAGAGTTGCTCAATGCAATAATCTATATCGATTTAAGTGTGTAATATATTTTTATATTCATGATTTAGATTCATCATCAAACATTGCTTGATTTCACAAAATATCTCTTGATTTTCTCAACAATGTTCATAATAGTTGACACTATTTCCAATGCAACCAACCAAACATCAACACCACAACTTTTGCAAATACCACTAGGATCAACTTGTTCAGCTAGTAAATATCAATATAAAAGTTTAGAAACCAAGGCAACAGACTTCAATCAATTATAGAAGACTTGCAGTTGGGCGATAAACGCCATCATTCAATTAAACCGTCCTATGATAAACTGGTCTATTTTTTGAGTGGCAACAATTCTTCCACACCACTTCATATCCTGGTATCTAATTTCAACTAAACAAGCGTTGACAACTTATTTGGACTACTAACACTACTATTACTGGCAGCATCATCTGCTGTAATAGCATAAATATCAACACCAAATTTTCTGTTACCCGATTTTCACTAAACGAGCGTCGACAATTCATGTGGACTACTAATACTACTACTATTAACAGCATCCCCAGCTGCAGTAGGACTAATGCTACCACTTGTCTCTCTGGCATCTGATTTATCCCCTGCAGCAGTAGTAGATCTATGCGTCAAACTGCTAGGAACATTCTTAGGAGTTGGCGGAGTAGACGTGGCTGGTCTCAAATAGGAAGCTGATGGTAGATAGTGGGAAAAATTGAGATGGTGATTCGATAAAGGAACTGGAGTAACAGGCGTATGGTGTGGTGTAAGAGGCGTATGTTGGGAAGTGTTGGCTAAAGAATGCGATATCGATTGATTTAGAACTGCGTTGGTGTGATGACCGCCGCTGGTATGGTTTAAGAACATAGATCCACTGGAAAGAATAATTATATTTAGAATTTGCCTTCTTATTTCATGTTATTGAAGATTTTATGTACCTATTCATGTCCTTCTGTCCCCCAACAGCCACAGTCAAGCTCTGCACAGATCCTCTAACTGGAGGCGGTAAAGCACCCCTTGTCGAATGGTCTGTAATGCCGACATTCGTAGAGTTCAAATTAATATTTTCGAGGCACCTCCTTTGTTGTTGGGCTGCCCTCAAAACTCCCATGGTCTTCTCTCGTTGCCAAACGAATACATTGTGCACCATGGCGCCTCCACAAAAGACTATTCCGACGCCAATTAGAACGGATGTCACAATTGCTGGCGTCGAGTGGAATTGCGTGAAAGTATACAAGATTATACCTGGAAAATAATACAAGGATTATACATATACGGCAGAATCGCTCCATAAATATAATAGTAATGCAAAAAATAGCAGAATAGTAGTGAAAATTTAAAAAAAAATTCTTTTTTAGACATTTTTATCGTTTTATGTAAACTTAAGACAATACAAAATTTCGCATCTTTCATATACAAAGGCTTTTACTTATAATGAGTATGGTATTCACATATTTGTCACACATTTAAATGGTTTATATCAAATAGCAAACTGGTAGTGAATGGCATCATGTCTTGGCACTGTAATGAAATATTCGAGGAATATTGAATTCTTTCAAATAGATTATTATAAATACTGTAACTTTTAATATTCGTATTTTATAGACAAAATATGAGAGCTTATAAATTGAATGACGATGTTTTTCCATGTTTACAAAAAAACTAAATGAACAAACCTTAATCAAGCAGAGTTTTTTTAAAATTTCACACTAGTTGTGCCCCTTAAAGGACCTTATCTCATATTTCTAAGAATTTCATAAATTTATTCCAAATACATAAATAAGCTTTATAAATTTAGCTAAAATTAAAATTTGAATCCGAATAATTTTTTACATCTGAAAAAAATTTGAACATTAAAAAAAATTGAAATTTTGAAAAATAAAAATAAACATGTCTTTCCCAAACACTAATCGTTTCTTCACAAGCAAATGTTTTCTGGACCATTCGAATCAGATGCTTTGTTCTCTCAAAAACTGCAATTCTATACACGTTTAGCTCCTTATCCCGAAAACGTCTGGGCCTGTCTTTGCAAAAAAACTGATCATCACATCTTCTAATCAATTCGAATGAAATGTTTTTTGAATCATTTAAATCGATGCTCTGTTCTCTCAAAAACTTAATTTCCAATTTATGCACTCTTTGCTTTGTATTTCTGAAACGGCTGGACCGACTTTTCAAAAACTAATCAGCACTAATTCCTAAAAATAGGAATTTTTCTCGAAAACGTCGACAAACAGTCACACACACATGCACACATTCATTTTTTCTAAGATATGCCAAAATGCACAGAAATCCCTGAAACATAAAGATGTAAAAATTTTAATTCAGATTTTTGAACGATTACAATAGCTCATCCTACGAGAATGGTTAAAAAACAGTAAAGATAAAAATATAAATATTCTTATCGGCTAGTTTTACATAATCTTAATGCAATGATTATAAATCCTACTTTGCAAAAAACTTTACCTGTCTATACTGTCTAGTTTCCGTTTCCTAATAATATAAATTTTTGAGTTAATATTTTTCTTAATAATTTATTTCCGTACTCTCAAACACATAGCAATAAATCTTTGGTTCAAAAGTGAGCTTCCATTACCACTTTGCAATTTAGATAAAGTATGCGGATGACCGTCGTAAAAATAACTAAACCTTTTTTTATACCAAAGAATTTACCGGAATTACTGAACAGTAGCAAGTTGCTACAAAGCCTATTCATATAAAATATTTTTAAAAAATAATAATAATAATAACAAGTTTTTTAAAAATAAAGTCTTAGTTATAAAGCCTCATAGTTATTTAATAACCAAAAACGATCTACTCAAGACAGTAGTTATATCTATGAATAACAATCAAATATTTACGTTAAGAGAAATTTTATAATTTATGTTGCTTGTATTAAATTTGTGAGTACCTGTGAGGAATACAGGAATCGACACAAAGAAGCCCCCCACGGCACACACGCGACTGGCACTGCTCTTCTGAAGATATTTGTTACCCCTGAAATATAAAAAACAAATTAATATCTTGAGATTTTAGTGTATCATCAAAGAAGACATTGTTACTAAATGTTGCACTTCTCTTTAACTTAGTAATTTTCAAAGAAGTTTATGTTTTTGCCGGAAAATTCGATTTCCTTTTTCTTGTTGTTGAAGTAAAACTTCTTTAGGCGCGACTAGGGTGTAAATCCGTACAAATGCAACGGAAGTGCGTTACGGCAGATAAGATAAGATAAGAGTCGAGAGCCAATGATTCGTCATGCACTCTGGATGATATCATTTTTATACGGGTCGATTGTGATTAGTCATTACGTATGTGAATAGAGATCTGTCGTTGTATGCGTACTGGTGTCAACGTTGTATGCGTACCGATATCAACAAGGAAATCGGCATAGATAAATAAACATTTTAAAGTTACACCGTAGTACAAATCTCGATTTAATGAAAATGCCTGAATCAGAAGAATATTTTACTCTGTTCCTTAGAAATTATTTCTATATTATTCATACTTTCTATAAATCTTTGAAGTTATTAAAATGGAAAATATTTTTTAGACAAAACAGATATTACAGCTGTTCAAAGAATGAGATTATATTGCGAAAAAGTAAAAAAATACAAGCAGTCAATAAATGTATGTTAATTTTAATTACATAAAGTTCTTCAAACACAATTACATGATAAGTGAAGTTGCGAAAACAGAATTTGTTTAGGCGTTGTTTAACATAATCCACTATGTGAACGAATATTATAGAAGTTATTAATCAGCAATTACTTCATTTCTCTAAATGGAGGTACATTTCTAAATGCTAATTACAATGACAAACCGATCATGTCATATTTGAAGTATGACTTTAATTACATTATTGTTTTTAAATATTATACATATTTTTAATGCTATTATAAATATATAATTTATAATTTATCATTATATAAATGTGTAAAATGGTTGACACTAATAAATATGTGCATCACGAGTGTCACCATATTACTAATAAACATTATTCAAAATTTTTATAAGATGTATTTATTTTTACTTAAATGCCATCTTGTACTGTAGCAAATAAGTTTTACTTCAATCGCGTGTAAACCTTACGCGCACTCTTTTATGTATTTTCGAAAATGAATGCTCTTCCAAAATTCAACAGCCAGTTAATCGAACTGGCGAACAAATAGCAGAGAAGTTCAAAAATTTTGGCACACATTTTGGCCAAAATTTCTGAACCAATTTTAAAAATATCAATAGGAAACTATGCTGATTAATTCCTGGTAAAGATCAACCAAGCTGTTTCTTCAAAATTAAATGTTAAAAAGTTTATTTGGTGTTTTTAATTGGCTATGATCATGCATTTATCTATGATTATGATTTGGCGTTATTGCATTTGCCACCGTATCCTTAAAATATCTTCATAATTTTAACAACATGTTGTTGTATGTTATTGTGCATAAAATTGGATTTGCCTATATATTTGCAAATATATAAAATACCGCCAACATATGGTTTTGTTAGAAAATCAAATCCGTGACAAATCGTCAAAAGGATTAATCTATATATAAATGCATTTGTAAACTTGCTCAACACAAATCTTCTGTTAGTAATCGATATTTTAATGAACTGTCGATGTTGAAAGTGAAACAGTTCGATTTGTATACAATTTACAGCTTCATAACTTAAATCTTAAAGCTAATAATACACTGTGGTGGGCTAAGAAAATAATCATTGGACCGCCGCAGTCTATTTGCTAAAAATAAATCTATTTCAATTTGTTGCCCTAATTATGATATCTGAGAAAACTAGAGCTGGAGATGTGAGAAAAGTAGTACAAGTTTATTTTTATTGTGTTGATCGTAAATTGAAGATTTTATGTGGGAAGATTAGCACTTTAACAAACGTAAAAAATATAAGAATAGCGACAGTAATAATAATAATACTTTTACATGGTTTTTAATTCAAAACCAGATAGTTGTAAGTTGCACTTTGTCTTGGGGCAACTTGCATATACATACTTCTCATAAATAGTCGATTTGATTAATAGTAATTTAATTTGTATATGATCTTCCTGTCTACTTGTGCACCCGTTTAAGTGCCAACCTGCCTACCAGTCTACCTTCCTATTGGTCTATCATCCTATCAGTATTCTATTTGTATATGAATAATTTTTCAATCATTCAAATCGGTTGATCCCGAAATCGTCAAGGAAACATTGTATCTGTACATTTTTAACTTCCCGTAGGGTAAGTTATAGTAATCGGCCAAAAATCGACAATGAAGATTTTTCTTACTTCACGTTTCAGAGGATTCTGAACATTTTGGAATACCTCAGAAAAAATGAATGTGTGTGTGTATTTGTGGAGACAATTTTTCGTCAACGATTTCGGGCGTATGAATGAACCAACTGAAAAAATTCAAAAAGTAATCTATTCCTATTGGCTTTGGAGATATGGAGCAAAGTGCTACAAATGTCAGTTTTCAAGAGAACGGATCAACCGATTTCAATGATCCAAAAAACATTCGATTAGCAATGATGGGGGGAGTGGTGATTAGATTTTGGCAAAGGCAGGTCCATCAGTTGCGGAGATGCAGAGCTAAATGTGTAAAAATGGCAGTTTTTAAGAAAACTAAGCATCCGATTTGAATGATTTAAAAACAAATCAGCTTGTGTTGAAGAAAATATTGCTTTTGAGTAAAGATTTTTTTTTAATTTTATTTTTTTTTAATTTAAAAAAAAATTTTTTTTGAATATCAAAAAATAATTCGGATTTTAATTTTAATTCTAGCTAAATTTCTAAACATCACTAATAATACTTCAAATAATTATAATAATCTATTTGAAAACATTTAATATTCCTCGAATATTTCATTAGGGTACGGGAAGTTCCAGCAATTTGCCTTAAGGCACGATGCCATACACCACTAGTTTATGATGTATATCCTAAAGTTCTGAATTCTAAAATCAAAATATCCTAAAGTTCTGAAACGCAAAGATATCTAAAAATTTTCATTCTCGATTTTTTGCTTTTAGTATACCTTAAGGAAGAAAGATTAAATATGTACTAACAACGTACAGTTTTTATAATTTGTTATGCAAAATTTTTCAGAATGACTTCAAACCTTAGGAAAACTATTTTAACTATTCTTTTGATAACTATTTTGTAGTAATGTTTATAAAAGCATATTCAAATCTCATCCTTACCTAGTTCCGGCACTAGTATTCCGTACCAGTTTCACAGCAAATAGGAATTGTACAGCGCAAACCAGTAAACAGCACAAATTTAAAGACAAAGATAAGGCACATAAAGCCAATGTCACGTCGTAGACAACCACGTAATCCTCCGCTAAAATCGACGGAGGAGGCGTTACACTTGGTACAGAATTCAGCGGCGTTGACGAGGCAGCTGGCTGGAGAAGCAGATCTCTTCCTCCTAAAGAAAAGACACCAAAATAGTAACAAAAAAGAATGTAATACTTATACGATCATCATCATCTTCTCCTTACCTGGTGAGATCTTCAATAGAAATATCAAGGACAACAACGCCAGCAGCAAAGACACCAGGCACAGCAACCCCAAACTCGTCAAAGCTTCTTTCACACCATTCGTTCCACTCCCTGTCAAGTTCGTAGTACTCGTAATCGCCTTCGGTAGACAATTTAACTCTCTCTCACTATTTGTCAACAACAAGGATTGCTGCTGATGATGATTCTGATGTTGATGTTGACCCTGATTGCTGTTACCATGATGACTATCATGTATAGAAACAGGAAACCGGTTCCCAGGTAATGAAGTATGGGTTTGCGATTGGTGATAGGAGCTTCCTAAAGATGCAGGTTGTGGCTGGTGATTTTGGAGGAGGTGACTCGCTGATAACGAGTGCTGATGATAATTGCTGCTGTTGTGATTTTGCGTGTGGTAGAGAGAGTTGGAGCTGTTGATGTTGTTACTGGTTGGCTCACGATGTTGGCTCGTTGTTGTTGCTGGTGCATGGTGGTGGTGGAGTAGATGAGGGGTGTTTTGGTAATGGTGGTGAGATGGCTGGAATAGAAAGATATCACATGTTAATTAAATCTATAGGTTTAATATATAAATTCTTCTAAAATAAAAATTTGTAATTACCCGCATGATTTAAAATTAGAAATAGTTGCAACTCAGAAATAATGTCCAAAAATCTAGAAACTAGTATAAAGTGGTTCATAGAATGTTGACAAGCGGAAAGAAAAACTGAGTACTGGAAATTAACTAAAGACGTGCTGATTAGTTTTTGGCAACGGTAGATCCAACCATTTCCAAAATACGGGGACACAATTTTTCGAAAGACATTTTATTTTCGTTGATGAAATAAAAACTGATCAAATATTTGGAAAAGCAGTTCCAGCGGTTTCGGCGTTCCAATAAAAAAAGTCATTTAGGCGGACAAAAATAATCATTAGACACATGAGCATCAAATTTATAAAAGTTTCTATAATAAGTACGAATTCTGTTTACTTTACTAAGAGTTCCGTACTAATGCTCATCTGGTAAAGTGCGACGCGGCGCTTACGCGCTTAGATATTTTTCTCTCTAAAACAGGCATGCAACGCGACCGCTTTGAAAAAAAGTTCAGAATTTTCTAAATATAAAAAAAATAATATTTTTGAAAAAAAGGCAAAATTCCTTTTGTTCTCAAATTTTGAATTCTCAAAAATCGTTTTTTTTTGCAAAGTTTATATATATGTGTGTCCGTGTATTTGCATCAATTGTTTACATAAACTAGTTGGTATTGGTATTTTGCCTTGAGGCAAGTTACATGAATTTTCCGATATGTGTAAATAATTGACTTAATCAATAAAAACCATTAATTTATGAGTGATTAAAAGTATTCCGAGTGGATTTATAACACATAATTGAAAACGAACAAAGTCGTTAACTTGGAGTATTTTCTAAAAGCAAATTTTCAAAACTCAATAATTTTCATAATTGAACCGGTTTCCATAGGACTTTAATTGTTTAGTACGTTTATTAAGGCCAAGTACTCTATCGTTATACCAAGTAAAATGTCTAATTTTAATTTTAACAAACGTCAAAAAAACTACTCAAACTTCGATAAATTTCTAAAATTAAAGTACTTGTCGTAAGGCCGCAATATTTAGTAAATTCTATAAGACCATGATATATATCGCCAAAAAAAGTTCCATGAAAATCGGCTTAAATTTTTTTTTCAACAGTTAATTACAAGAAATCGGTTCGGTAGATTTTTACTTAAAACTAATCAGTATAATTCCCAACTAATATCATTCGAACAGTTTTTGATTTTATAAAATCGGTTCGGTAGTTTGAGGTTAAATGTGGACGAAAAGTTTAACACTTTATTTCAAATTACAAAGAAACGGCTCGGCAGATCGTCTCATAGTCCTCATTGAGATACATCAAATGTAAACGTACTCATAAGTTGTTCATAAAATAGGCTAATAGCGCAATTTAAAAAGCACAGTATGTAATAAATAATCTATTTGAAAGTATTCAAAACAATTATTGATTATTTTCATTCCTCGAATGTCTAATTACGGTACAAGAAGTTTCAGCAATTTGCCTTAAGGCACTATGTCATACACCACTAGTTTATTTCTTATACCAAAATGGCTTTTAAATTTCAAAAATCGGTTCAGGCGTTTTTGACAAAACGTCGATCAAAGGTCTAATTTTGACAAATGCCAAAGCAAACGATACTAATTTTTCCAAACTTTGAAGGATTTTCAAAATTAAACGGCTTGTCGTAGGGCCGTAATATTTTAGTATGATCTACAAGACTATGGTATCTACCGTCAAAAAAAAATCATAAAAATCGTCGAATTTTTTTTTTTAAAAAACTTTATTACAAGAAAACGGTCCGGCCGATCTTTACCAAAAACTAATCAGCACGATTCCCAACCAATATCTATCGAATGGTTTTTGAATTTTCAAAATCGATTCAGAATTGCGGGCTAAAACGTGGACGAAAAATGTTTCACTTTCCTGCAATTTACAAAGAAACAGCCCGGCCGATCGTACAAAACTCAGAAACGCTAGTCTTCATCGAGATACATCGATCGGCTTTTAAATTTTTGAAATCGGTCCATTCGTTTTGGAGAAAACGTCGATTTACGGCAAAAAATCTGTTCACACACACACACATACTTTTTCTAAATTTGGTCTCATTCGATTCAGAATGGTTTGAAACGTCAAGAAAATATAAAACTAGTGGCGCGCATGGCATCTAGCCTTAAGGCAAACTGCTGGAACTTTCCGTACCAAATATTATTATTTTTTCAAAAACGATTAACATTTTTGAAAAAATTTTACTTCGAAAAAATTAGATTTTTGAGAAACTAGGAATTTGACAAAAAATTACTTTTTTTATTTTGACATATTTTGGCAATTCTAAACTTTTTTTCAAAGCAATCGTACTGCTTAACAGCATAGAGACAAAATGTCAAAGCGCGTAAGCACTGCGTCGCCGTCTAACGAATAAACTTTGGTACGGAACCCATAGGAATGCAAAGAAAATTTATACTTATTGTTAAAATCTCTATAAAATATCTGATAATTTGATATGCATATGTCTAATGATCATTTTTGACCGCCAAAAATTTTCATTTTCGATTTTTTTGCGATTACTATAACCCTACGGGAAGTTAAAAATTAGCGAGTCGGATTTTTTGATGAAAACATAAACTTCTCCTTCGGGAAGTTAATAAATATATCCTGATTTTCTAAAAAGTCTCAAATTATCATTACCTCTCTCTGATGATGCGACGCCGACAACACCGACGACACACTCAGTCCTCTAGGCAAGTTTCCGTTCGCTAGCTTCGGCGTTTGCTGCAACTCCCTCGCGGCAGATCTCTCATTGTCCGCTGCATTTCTTTGGGAATTCGATTCGTTCCCAGTTCCTCTACTGGTGGTCGAGGAATTCACCAATCGTTCGACTGTTCCGTTGGCTGATAAAGAACTTCCGCTTCCTGTGACTGCTGCGGACGAGGAAACAGGTACTGCGGGCGCCGTACTTGACGCGGACGCGGAAGCAGATGCCGCGCTGATTGCGGCAGCAGATATCGCCAGCGGTCGCAGGGGCCGCTGCGATACGGTGGCGGTCGGCGTTGACGCTGTCGCGCCTAGAAAATTAACAGAAAATATAATAATTGTAATAAATAATGTGACTGTTAATGTCCGCCGGTACTAAATAAACCGATATATTAGTCTAGTTGATTGAAATTGAAGATAGTGATGCGTAGCATCGTGCCTTAAAGCAAATTGCTGGAGCTTTCGATATCTGAATAAAATATTCGAGAAATTTCAAATGTTTTCAAATAGATTATTACAAATACTATAACTTTCATTATTCGAATTCAATAGATAAAATATTAAGAGCCTTTAAGGTACGACGATGTTTATATATGTATACATAAAAAGTAAGTAATCAAAACTTGATCAAGCGGAGTTAGAATGAATGGATAACTAGTGGGGCCCATGGCATCGTGCCTTAAGGTAAATTGCTGGAACTTTCCGTACCAAAAATTATTGTTTTTTTTAAAAGATTAACATTTAAAAAAAAATTTGCTTTGAACAAAATTAAATTTTTAAGGAACTATATATTTTTGACAAAAATTTACTTTTTTGAAATAAAACACGTTGAAAAAATATTTTCTTTGTTTTGAAATTTTGGAAAATCTGAACTTCTAAGCTATTGTACTGCTCTAACTGCATAGAGACGAAATATCAAAGCGCGTAAGCGCCGCGTCGCCGCCAACGGATAAACATTGGTACGGAACCCATAGGAATGTAAACCAAAGTCATACTTATTAAAAAATCTAATGTCATTTTTGATAGCTAAGTGGTTTTTTTTTACTTTTTCCACTCATTCTCCGAAACCGCTAGACCTGCCGTCTTGGAAATTGTATCATCTTGTCAATACAAGTAAAATGTTTTTTTGAATTATTAAAATCGGACGCTCCGTTCTCTTAAAAACTGATTTACCGTTTTTGGCATTTTTTGCCCCGTATCTTCGAAACGGCTAGACCTGCTTATGCCAAAAACTAATCAACACGTCTCCTTATCAACACCAATCTAATGTTTTTTGAATTATTCAAATCGGTTAATCCGTGTTCCCGAAATCGTCGACGAAAATTTGTATCCACACACACACACACACACACACACATACATCCATTTTTTCTAATAACAAGGTATGCCAAAATGTTCAGAAACCTCTGAAACATTAAGATATATAAAAATTTTCATTTTCGATTGTTTTGCGATTACTATAAGTTAATTAAGGCCCTGGTCATATTTCTGAGAATTATATGGTCATATTTCTGAGAAAACGTAAAATTATTTATTTGAAGTGTGTAAAGAAGCTTTACCATATCATTGAAACTAAAATTAAAATGCGAATCAATTTCGATATTTAAAAAAAAATTGAAATATTATTTTGAAAGTTTAAGATAAAAAAAATTGTTTTCCCCAAAAACTGACCGTTTCTTCACCCTGTCTACACAAAAACAAAGTTTTTTGAATCATTCGATTCGGCCATTTTTTGCACTTTAAGCTTCGTATCTCCGCAACAGCTCGACATGTTTTTGCCAAAAACTAATCACCACGTCTCCTGATCATTACAAATTGAATGTTCTTTGAATGATTCAAATCGGATGCTCCTTTCATTCAAAAACTTAATTACTATTTCCTTCATATTTCACTCGGTATCTCCGAAACGTAAGTTCTTATCAAGTTACATCAAATGGCTTTTAATTTTTTTAAATAGGTTCAGCCGTTTTTGAGAAGACGTCGACAAAAGGTTAAAATTCAACTCGAACACAGAACATATTTTTACCGATTCTGTTTTCAAACGATTCAGAATGAAACATCTAGAAAACATAAATCTAAGAAGTCGAAAGCAAGTCATAAACTTCTTTGGAAAGTTAATAAAAAAAATCTTAAAAAGTCGATAACACCATAGGGCTCCAAAGGAACTTCTACGCACCTAGTCCTGGGTAATTTAATTTTAATCACCAAATATTTTTAAACAAACGAATTTTAGAATAGGTATTAAATCACATTATGCAAAAAATATTGTTAACTTCTCGTAGGGCAAGTTATAGTAATCGCAAAAAAATCGAAAATGAAATTTTTGATATATCTTTACGTTTCAAAGGTTTCTGAATATTTTGGCATGCCTTAGAAAAAAATGGATGTATGTGTGTGTGTGTGTGTATGTGTGTGTGTGGGTGTGTGCGTGTGCGGATACAAATTTTCGTCGACGATTTCGGGAACACCGATCAATCGATTTGAGTAATTCAAAAAACCTTCGATTCGTATTGATAAGGAGACGTGCTGATTAGTTTTTGGCGCAAGGGGCAAAAAGTGCCACAAACGGTAACTGAGTTTTTAAGAGAACGGAGCGTCCGATTTTAATAATTTAAAAAACATTTACTTGTATTAACATTTTCATGAAGGTAGGTATAGCGGTTTCGGAGATCTAGTAAAAAAAAGTAAAAAAAATCCATTTGGCGGTCAAAAATGATCATTAGACATATGCACATCAAATTATCAGATATTTTATAGAGATTCTAACAATAAGTATAAATTTTGTTTATATTCGCAACGCGGCGCTTACGCGCTTTGACATTTCGTCTCTATGCAGTTAAAGCAGTACGATTGCTTTGAAAAAAAATCCAAAATATGTCAAAATAAGAAAAACATTTTTTTTCGAAAGAAAAGTAATTTTTTGTCAAATTTATAGTTTCTCAGAAATTTAATTTTTTCGAAGTAAATTTTTTTCAAAAATGTTAATCGTTTTTAAAAAAATGATAATTTTTGATACGGAAAGTTCCAGCAATTTGCCTTAAGGCACGATGCCATGCGCCCCACTAGTTTATTTTATTTAACAGCAATCAGAATTTATCGAGTCCTATGATGGTTATAGATAGCAACCGAAAATTTTATTCTTTCTCTATATGTTACTACAATTTCTCTAATACTGATGATTTTTATTGATGTCGGGTGAGGGCTATTTTCACTTGGATACATATTCCTATCTATATTTTCAATAAAACGCGATTTCACCACTGCTTGATATTAGGTTGTCCGAGGCTGATATCGAACTTAGAACCTCTAAATGGATTCCATAGATCTAACAACAATGTCTAATAAAATAATAATAATAAATATTAAATATTTTCTCACCTGCAAGAGTAGGTGCAGTGTGCTTCAACATATCACCTGCCCCGCCGCTTCATGTCGAATTTTTGTTTGTTCGCTTCTTTATATAAAACTCAAATTTCTATTTTTCCGTTTTGCGATATTATAATAAATATTCATCATTCCAGAAATGTATTAGCACAATTTAAAAATGACACTAATAGTCTTCTCCATATTTATATTTATAGAGTTTATATTTTCTAGCTATTATTAGCTATGGCGCCGGTTTTATAGTATTTTGTGTAATAAATCCATTTATTTCGTGGCAGTCCAGTAAGGAATTGTGAAACCAGCGGGCATCTGGAAAGAACGAAATATAAACAATTATTGTTATTGTAAAATTAATGTAAACTATAAACTAGATTACGATACGGAGTAAAGATATAAAATACTCTCACATGTAACATTGATTTTCACACAACTATTGAGATTGTTTTCATATGAATTACAATATATTATTTTTATACGGAAAATAGATATAAACTTTTATAGAGATCAGAACTACATGTTCTATGAGAGGGCAACCCAGCGGTCAACCACTCTTCATTTATATAGCATTTTTTATTCATTTTAATATTCCTATCACCTTTTAATGCTTTCCGATTGGAAAAAATCTAATATCCTAATTTTGTTTTCTTGACCTATTTCAAAAATTCAGAACTATTCGATGTTACTCGATAAGGACTAGCGTTTATCAGTTTTGTGCGACGATTGGCCGAGCAGTTTCTTTGTAATTAGCAGAAAAGTTTTAGCCTACAATTTTGCACCAATTTTAAAAATTTAAAGACTAACCGCGTTGATTAAATTTTTGGTAAAGATCGGTCGAGCCGTTTCTTTGTAATTAATTGTTCTTTGTTTGACAATAAATTTGGTAGTCTGAAATAACATACTAAAATAGTATAGGCCTACAATAAGCGGTTGAATTATTAAAAATCATCAAAGTTTAAAATTTCGCCCCGCGTTTAAGCGATTCTAACTAGAATCTATGCCGAAACATATGCACGTTCTGTGATGTTTTGTTGGTAGCTACTGATTGCAGTTTACGTTTACAGTTATATAAAATACATTTTTGGAAACCGAAATACATAAAATGAAATGTGTTAAACAAATTAATTTGTATAATTACAGATATTATAAGTATGTTTGAAAGATATCAAAAATGTGATTATTTTTCAGTGAAAGCAAAAATTTTATTTTTTACACAAAAGTTGAATATGTAATCTAAATAGCTTCTATCTCAATTCTTATTGAGTTATTTCTAAATTTATCTTAAAGCAAAATGCCGCTTACAACTAGTTTATAATATATTTATTATATTTTTGACTTCTCGTAGGGTGGTTATAGTAACGGGCAGGTTACTAGCAGGTCCAGCCATTTCGAAGATACAGAGCTAAATGTGCAAATAATGGCAGTTTTTGAGAGAACTAAGCGTCCGATTTGAATGATTCAAAGAACTTTCTGCTTGTTTCAACAGAATAATTGCTTTTGTAAAAAAATTGTTTCAAATTTTTTTTTTCAATTTTTTTTTTTATTTTTTTCAAGACTTTTTTTTGTATATCGAAAATAGTTCAGATTTTAATTTTAATTCTGTTCTAATATACTTTAAACAAATAATTTTAACTTCGCAATTCAGTTTATATAATTCTTATAATGTATAATGTTACAATATTTATAATAATCTATTTGAAAACATTCAATATTCCTCGAATATTTCGTTATGGTACGGGAAGTTCCAGTAATTTGCCTTA